TATGTGTCTCTGTCAAAGTGGATTTTTCATAATATGTCCCCTTTACAAATGTTCTTAGGAATGTCACCTTGCAATATGCCTTTATGTCAAACAATATGTTTCAGAGGCATTCAGCCTGAAGGCCCTCAGAGATGTGAGGCTGATATACAGGATAGCGTCTGACAGCCCACTGAGGCCTGCACTCTGTCTTGGACGTTGAGCATATGGGAGTTGAATGGTCATGTGGGATATGCCTGAGTGTGTGTGTGTGTGTGCGTGTGTGCAGGGCTGACAATGTGTAATGCATTTGTCATGCCAGCTAGGGCATAAAAGCCTTTTTCTCCTTAACAGAGGCCCAGAGGGTAATGTGGTAATACAGATGGGGCCTGTCATGCTTTTCTAAAAACCAAGGCGAGGAGGAGGAGGATGATGAGCAACATAAGGATGAGAAAGATTCATCTAGCCTCTGTGGATCGTGGCTCCTCCACAGGAAGTGGGCTACTAAATGGATGTATAGACAGAAAGGTTGGGAGATAGTTTGGTTTGCTTCACATTTAGATTCAAAGTTTTTGTTTAATTCTGTCCTTTAGGGTGAGGGTTACACACTCTGAAGTGAAAAAAACAAATCCTAAATATTGTTTTTTTTTTCTTTCAGGAGGCCTATTATTACCTTTGCATCATGAATCTGCCATGTGTTGTTTGGACGCATGTCAGGTCGGCTCAGCTTCTATGGCAGCTGTGTTTCTTCAAAGACCCCCCCCTTTAGTTCAAAAGACAAAAAAAAAAAAAATTGAACCTAGCTTGAGTGAGTCGTGTTATGTGTTCATCTGCACAACAACCACGCTAAAAAAAAAATCTGTCAAAAATGTCATCTTTTTAAAGATGCTGTTCGTCGACGCCTGCCATGATTACGCACCGTGGTGTAAATTAAGGACAATTCCCTTCAGGATGTTACATGCTGCAGACCTGCTAAGCTGCAACGAATCAGCTTTTTTTTTTTTTTTACACACACACAGTATGCTTTCCCTTCTGGTGGTATTTCAATTTTTGGTTTTATTGTCACGGAAGGTTTTCTTCCAGGCGTTTCTGACCCAAAATCCCAAAACATGCAGATGAGTTGGACAAGTCTACATAATTCTCAAATGAGTGGATATTGTTCATACCTGTTTTTTGTCTTTTGTTGAGAGCGCTCACTGGCTGGTTCCCCTTGTGCATGCTAGCACATACTCTATCCCCTAGTTCACACCATTGAACAATGCTCGTCCATTTTTCTGTAATTTGAGCGATTGTCAATATCGCCCCAGTGTGCCTTCATTGCCAGATTTCCCCATATGACAACTAAAAATTTGATTATGTGCTTATTCTTGGGCTTGAATCCCCGTATTGATTCCAACCAATTGTCAAAATAAGGTTTCAGATGCTAGCCACTGACCAGAAGGATGCCAACAGAAAACACCATCTGGGAGTTGAAAATGCGATATCACCAGATTTTCCCCACTTGTGAGAGAGAGGGTGGAATCAGCAATATTTAAGTCTCAATCTTCACTTGTACATAATTGCACCAATTCAAGCCACTTTGCAAAAAGCAGGTAAAAGACCTTACTCATTGTTCAAATACCGACGAAAGCCCCTTTTTCCGACCAAAGGAACCCAGAACTAAAAAGGGTTCAGGGGCTTCTCTTCAAGGAATTGGAAACGCTGCCTGGGAAGATTCTGCAAATCAGGCTGTATTGCTTTGCAAATGGTTTCTTTAGACCCGTTTTCGATTGGAGGAACTTTCCCCCAGAACTGTGGTCTTTTTTTTTGGAGGAACTTAGTGCGTTTCGACCAAATCTATCAGGGTAAAAATGTAGTTCGTTGTACCCCCAAAAAAAGACCCTGCTAAGGGGTTATGTACTCTCTAAAGGTCCAGGGACTCGTGACAACAGGGCATGCAGCCCCTGCAGAGCTAAATGTCTCTGATTGGTCGGGCACAGCAGGGTGTTAGATCGCCCACTGTTTGAAAGACTGCAGCTGAAAGCCCATTATTTTCTCCCCTCACCTTTATTTATAAGTCTAGCTTTTACACTTGTAAAAAAGGTACAAAACTGTCATGGCTTCCTCTTGTTTAGTTAGTGTATTACTTGTTTTGTTACCTAGTTAGTTACCTATCCTGGTGTTGATGGTTTACTAGTTGAGTCTTCAGTGTGTCATGATGTATTTTGTAGTTGTCCTCAGTGTTTCTTATTGCCCTCATTGTCTTCACCTGTGTCGTTAGTCTCACCTGGGTCCATCGTTAGTCATTGGTCCATGTCAGTCGTCGGTTGTTCCCTGGTCCCGTTGATTCCTCTTGGCTCCTTGTGTTTTAGAGCTTTAGTGGATTTTTCAGTTTGGACATTTTCTTGATAGTAAGTTTGATAAAGCCTTATGACACCTCTGGGACTTTTCTTTCTATTTTTGAGTTTCATCATCTGGAAGAACAGTGACATCTTGTGGCAGACTGACATTAAAGCAGCCATTGAAATGTGGAACTGAAGCACTGGCACAACACCTCGCCTCTTTGTTTAGAATAAAATAGTTTTTTGTGAGTTCTGCTCTTTGTTTTTTTCAATGTACTTGTGACAGAATGAACTGACAACAAGAAGGAAGGAACACTGAGACTAAATGGACATGGTGTAATCAGACACAGGTGAGACTAACGACACTAGGGCGATCAAGACTGGAGGGAAACACAGAGAGAGGCAGGAATGAACACAAGACAAGAAACACTGTGGACTGTATGCATGCGACCACTACGATCTCTGTGGACCGGTCACAGGATATAAACATCCCCCTCCTATTGGCTCAAGCTGAATTCTCCGGAGAATATCCTGCTGCGTTCTCACCCGAGTTTTTCAGTTTGGGTTTTCATAGGCCTAAATCTTGCAAAGATACTTGGTGTAGTTTTATCCCTTAATCTCTCACCCAATTGCCTGATCTGAATTGTAGACAAAGTCATCATTTCAGAAAAAAGAATCTGTCTTTTTGTCCCTTATTGTCTGGTTGGTGAAGCAGAACACGCTTTTTAGAAGTGAATCGACGCCTCCCAGCAGGCCTCTGCTAACAAAAGTGTTTGCATCAGTGGCCCGGCACAGCAGGGGTCCCTGGGGACAAAACATGCAGATGTGAACACAAACACACCAGCATGCTCTTCAAGTTGGCAAAATTTACATCCTCATCACAGTGAACGCTAAATAACGGGACTGGATGCACTGGCAATTCAAGAATATATAAAGTCTGAGGAGTCATTGAACCGTAAAGAACAAGTGGAAAGAAAGTAACATGGATCATTTCCGCTCTTTCTCCCAGCTTGTCACAACAAAGTTCCAACTAGTCTAGTGCTGATAGTGAAACAGTCTAAAGATAACAACAGCAAAATGGTTATTTCCCCTTCTCTGATCAGCTAGTGTTTTTCTTCCATTACCTCATATCTTCTTTTTTCTCACCATCCACCTGATTTAGTTCCATTTCAGTGAATATCACAACATAAGGCTTTTTGGTTTCTAAGATCGTTGGAATCTCTTTCTACATTGAGGTTGAGTTGGCGCCCAATAAGGTCAGTGAAAAAAAAAAAGCAGCAGTGTTTCAGTAGGCTATGGCATTAAGTGTAAAAACATGCAAAAGTACATTAAAGGAAAAATGTGCAACTTTTTGATCCAGAGATAACCTGCTGCGGTCCTTTTTTTTTGGACTGGACACTGCACATCCCGCAGGCACAAGAAGGCAAGGGGGGAAATGTTTTTTGAGGTGTCCAATTATTTTTTGACACATTGAAACCACATCCAAGACGCGGCACTGGCTGAGAATGCCATCATGGACCCGGCTGGAGGGTCTTACACAAACTGCAAGACAACACAGGTCTCCCACCCTGCTGACATTTTCTTTCAGTCCAACAGGTTACATCCTCTGCCCAATGAAAACTGACTCATCTGAATCAGCAGTTAGATATGCTAGCTTTTCCAGCATTGAACTGAGGGACACAAAAGACACACGCAGGAAGTACAACAAACATTACCATGGCGACAACAGCAAACGCGAAGCATAAAGTCATAAATTCGGGACCAACTAGTCAATTTACGGCAAACAAAAAAACACATTTCAACTGACTAGGAAAAACCAAAAGGTTTACCGTAATGGACGCACCAGCTAACAGCTAGCCACATTTAGCTTGACCATCATGTTTGCTTACTCTTTATGTTGCGTTTGACGGCGCCAGATTACACATTTTGATTCTGGTTGTTGGTGAATGAATAAATTAGATTTTTCTCTCTCTCTCTTTCTCGCCCAGTGATTTTATAGATAAACCGATGAAAAGGTTTGGAAACGTGTTGGCAAACACTGAATTGGTTGGAACCAAGAATCGATTTTAAATTGAGTTGTGACCCCAACAATGGAAATCTAATCTTGAGATAATGAAATATCCACCCCATTGTTTGAGAGTGTGTGTTTTTGTGTCTCTGTGTTGGTGTGCATTGAGTAACATTTACAGATATCAAGCAAACAAAGACCAATCTTTGTCTCAAGGTTTGATAGTCTGTATTCCTGAAGCCCCATTTTGTGCTTCTGAGAACCAACCCCAAGTGCTGTTGCCAAGAAAAAATTAACCGACATCCTACATACTGACTGGAAATGCTATTAATTGCCATGGTAACGCAGTAACTGCTCCAAGAAACCACAGTGGAGCTTTTTTTTTTCTGATTTCAAATCTTTTCCTCTCTGCATGGATGGATGGCTCTGGCTTCACGTGAGAAGGAAAAAAAAAAACAGAAATGAAGACTTTGTTTTTTTCTGTCTCAGTGACACTGACTGATACAACCACGGTTTAAGCTTTTCATGTATTAGATTATGTGTTCGATTTCATGGCCATATCACGCATCCATCTTCAGTTAGAGGAGGAAAACACTGACAAATGACGAAACAGAATGATTGCATGTATAAATCTCACACGTCCCACTGACAATAACTGCTGGTTAATTCACTCTCGTTTTTTTCTGCACTTCCAGTGAAACCAACAATCGTCGATGTGGGTATATACGTCAACAGCATTGGGCCTGTGTCATCCATGGATATGGTGAGTTAAAATCTCGTACACACTTGTCAAATGTACAGCATTAGCAATATCATGCATGAATTCTGCAATCCCTCACACTGGGTTTGAAGGACATTTGAGCCGCCACAGCTTGCTTTTTTTGGAGTGAGACAGCCAAGAAAGACAGGTGTGGACGCTTTGTTCATGTCCCCCGTATTTCAAATCACTCATTTGCTTAATCCATACTGATCCACTAAAGAGTCATAGAATGTATTCTGTGAAAAGCTCACAGCGCTATCAAAGCTAAAACAGCTTTATGTGTCTATGTAGAGGAGAAAAGCAGGTCTGGGCAAAGCACATCATTATTTTTCTTCCAGTGTTCCTGCTTTTCAGGAAAACTTCTAATAAAAAAATCTTCTACAAATGGCCAGGACATGGATCGGTGAATTCTTTTCACCATTAATTCCTAATCAGCTAACTTTAAACATAATACATACATACAGAAGTAAAAGCTTTTTGGAGAGGTTATGAGACGGTAGGGACGAAAAGCATTAGCATTCTGTTAGCCTTGAATGTGACTAAAAAGGATGGAGGATTTATAATGTGTAATGCATTAGGCCTCCGCCTCTTCTGTTCAAGAGCTGACCATTCACTCAAATGTGATAGTCATTCATATTGCTTTGCATTAGATTCTCTCTCAATGTATCATAATGAAATAAAACGCTTTGAAGGTGCACTATGTGGAATTTGAAAGTTGGAGAATGGAAACAATGCTGTGCTCCATTTTCTCTGCTAAGTACACACATTTTATTAAAAGGGGAAAATGGCTCCCTGGAACACTGTTTGGAGCCAAAAAGCGAGCATTGTATCTTCAAACAGTGTTACAGGGACCAAATGTTCCTCTGAGGACAGTTTGTGTATGGAGGTATGAATATATACCACTGAATCTGTACGCTCTTCCATCTTTCAAATTTCTCTACCAAGACTCCATAGTGATCATTTAACAAGCAGTTACTTGACATTCAGTGGGTTTTTAAATATAAAATGAATTTAAATCAAAGAAAAAAATACATATATTTTGCTTTTGATGTCAATAATAGAGCTTCAAAGACAGAAAATCGGTATCGGCAGATCAGACAAGGTAAAAATTGGAGATCAGAATTGGTGCATTCCTAATACATCTTAATCCATACTGAGGGAAACATCCATCGTATTTGCTCTGACTTCTTCTGTCGGTTTCTGTTTCTCTTGAAGATGTGTGGGTGACATTGTAGTTGTCTTGCAAAAATTTACATTTAAAAAAAAATTGAAGCTTAGTCACATGGGGGCGTTTGGAGACCATGGGAAATGCATTAAGCCTGGGGTCATTTGACAAAGATATGCCAGAGGTCAGTTATCAGCTTCACCCCTTCAGGATACTTTGGTGTTTTTGTTTTTGTTCTGCGCGTTTCTTAAATCATCCAAGTTTGCAGTTACAGGGACATTTGTTCTTCTTCCTAATGGGACCAGTACAGGCAGTTACAGCTTTTATAGCACACATTTTTGCCTTCTTTACCATTTTGGAATAACAGGACAGTTGTGGTCTTTATGGAAGAGCACAGTATTTTAGTTGGAGCATGACTTATTGATATTGTTGCTCGCTCAGACGCGCCTCTTATCCTAGCTCTCAGGCAGCTTCCACTTACTGTCTGCTCTTGTATATTATATAAAACCACCCTGTCAAAATCCCCAAATCATTAGAAGACAAGGTTTATTGTTGACCAATGAAATGATCCCTGGCTGATATCAGAAAGGTTCCATTTACTTTAGGAACATCTTGTATTTGCGGTTAAAGTGTTCATCCACTTTTGCCCTCTGAAGCTTTATTAGTTGAACTCCAATTGGTTGCACGGTGGTGCAGTGGTTAGCATTGTTGCCTTAGGTAGTAAGGAGGTTCCTGGTTGTCTCTGTATGTCAGCCATGTGACTGACTGGCAAACAGTCCAGGGTGTAACCCCGCCTCTCGCCCAATGACATCTGGGATTGGCTCCAAACCCCAAATGGGAAAAGCGGTAAAGATAATGGATGGACGGAATCCAATTGTTTTCTTTATTACTTTGGAATCAAATGACACTTCTTATATCCAAGGACCTCAATTATTATTTTCTTCATTTAAACAGTGCTATTCTTTTAATAAAAGCTCATCATGATCTTCTTTAATTTGGCTGAACATGCTGTTAAACTGATCGACCACACTCTTAATTAAATGACAGGGAAAACCAAACAACTGTGATTGTCGCCAATGTCAAAGGTTACAACGACTTTTATCTTCTAACTGAACCATTTTTGACTGATCATTTTTGTCCGCCACACTTTAATGATGGCAAGGAAGACAAGAATCAAACATCATCTGCTTTCTTGTGTTGTATCATGCGGTGCATCAAAATCAAGCTCATTATCACTAATAAGTCAAAACAGCTTGGATGTTGTTTTGAGACTTTTGTAGGCGTTTCCCATGTAGACTTATTCGCATTTGAGCTGTTTCAAAGGTGGCTCTTGCATAGAATTTTACTTTCATTTGTGTCATGCTCATGAAGTGCAACTCTGGTACTATAGGGTTCAACCTATAGGCTCTGTCTAGTGGACAACCTGGCTTCTGCTACCGGGACAAGACCTCCTGGGCAGTTGATTCCATTTTCATTGAATTCTGTGACTCGGTGTGTTTTCTGTATCGGGACTATCAAAGAGCCTATGCTGAGGGAATACAGGATCTTTGTCCTATGCCTGATTTAAAATCCTCAAACTCAATCAAACCTGTTGGGAGTTTTTGAGCTGTTTCTGGATGTCCTTGCATTCATTTATGTGACTGTACTATTGTACTACATAGGCCATCAATTAGATACTCTTTGTCTGTTGGTGGAGAGGTTGCTTCTTTAAGATAGCACCACTAACACACATATACATAGGTTAGTAATATAGTTTAGTGATCTCCGTAGTAGGTCAGTGAGGCATGGCCGGGGTCAGCTCCCTGTGGGACGCCCAAACTTTGTTTCAGCGGAGAATAGAGATACCCGCTGAGACATTCCAGTGATTTTCCTCCTGTGTAAATGCTGATTGGCTTCACCCTGTCAGGGGGATGGATGCTGGTCAGTGGAATGTAAATCTTTGTCCACCCTCGGGGGTTAGCTGGACTGGAATTAGTGCAGAGTTACAATTCTTATCTCTTTCTCCTTCCGCCTCTTATCCAGGTCTCGGTGGAAATGTTACCATGTCAGAGAGAAAATAACCGATTTCTTCAGCATGGCCTTGCATGACTTGGTCTTGCCTTGGTTTTTTGGTTGTTTTTTTTTCAAAGCCCCATATTCACTCTGAGCTCTCTGCTTGAACCTTACCCATCATGTGACCTTTATTCTGCATGTGTGAATCTGAACTCCATTGAATTTTTATCCCTATGTATGTGAGATCTGGATGAAAAACCAGGTCAAATCCTGAAGGTGTGCTACAGTACATGCATAATCTATATTGATCGTACACACACAGCAACGGTCTCCAGAGTGACCAGACAAAACCAAGCTTCTCATTGCAAAACATGTATTTCTTTCCTTATTTTCTCCAATGGCAATGGGCAACTGCTGGGATGATGGAATGCCAAATGAAGCGCTGATAGTAATTCAGGGACATACTGTGATGAATGGTTGAGTGATCAAACGGCATTAGAGGCATTTAAGACAAGCAAAAGTGGCTGCACTTTGACATTGACACTAAGTCGACAGCCTTCTCTTGAGCCCAGAAGTGGGTGGCACCTTGAATTTGTCGCCTTGCTATCGAGCCTGCCAGTGTGTATTACCCAGGCATGGAATTTATTAGTACCACCTGCGTTGCCTGTGAACGAGACTGATTACATGAAAACCCAACGGAAACCATCATCCCCTATTAATATCACTACGACTAAACCAACCTGAGGAATGAGACTGAGGAGGGGAGTGAGAGATGTTGAAGCCTCTGTCTCTAACTGCCAATTTGGGGTCCGTTAATGATCAATATTAATCTTTAATATTTCCTGCAAAGTGATAGGCTGCTTCTCAAATCCCTGCATTACATTTCTGCATTATGTATATTTTCCACAAGTGTTTGAAAACTGCATTTGAGGGATTAACACAATACATTTGTACAACTTTATTTATCCCAGAAGGGCAATTCAGTTTCACAGCAGCAGCATTCAGACACATTCACATGTCAGTAACAACAATTCAACAGACAAACCGGTCGTCAATCCAGAATTTCATAATACATCAACAATACACTAACGACCACCACACACACACAACAAGCTAACATGTCGGCAGTGCAGACGTTAGGTGCCCATCAGCAGCGGGGAGAAAAAGTTTGACACTTTGCCATAAGGTACACAAATTTTGCATAGCTAGTGGGAAACGAATGGGAAACTAACCACTAAGTAACCAGTAAGTAACCAATAAGTAATGGGTAGATAGTAAGTGCTTCCTCATTACATGTTCTAGGGTAGCTAATGATTAGTTAGTGGGAAACCAAGGGGGAACTAACTGCTAGGTTACCATTAGATAACCATTAAGTAAAGGGTAGATAGTAAGTACTTCCTCATCATATGTTCTAGAGTAGCTAATGGTTAGTTACTGGGAAACGGATATCAAAAATCCCATATTAGTGGGGCCCTATTATCTGATTTTAAAAAAAAGATGAAAATAAAAAATGTGACCAGAATTAGCATGTCCAGATATAAAATAAAACACCATGAGTTGCCCAAACACCGCCTTTGGAAATATCATTGAATCGGCCTAAATGTCCTTGTGTTGCATTGTTTCCTGCCAATTGTATTTGCTATTAAAAATTATTATTTTTAGGGGACAAGTGTGTCCTGGCACAGGCATATTATCGCAGTGTTATCTGAACAGCAGCCCACTAGCTATCCCTCGTGGTGATGGGCTTGTGAGCACATACCTCCTGTGATCATCAGTGGAGAGTCTGCGCCGCTCACATCTGTCTGAAGTGTCAAAGCTGATCATTTTCACCTATCTGGAAGTGTTG